GAACACAATAAGCCGTGTATTTTACTTTTCATTACCGCACGCCTGTATAATGTGATAGATTATGATATTGAAATTGGTGCAATAAGAGACGCTTTACGAGCCAATGTGTTATAAAAAATATTACGCGCGCCGTTGCCTATTCTGATTCAAACCTCTACCCCGTGGAGCCGTGGAACCTTACTTACCGACAGAAACACAACAGTGATCCTCTGTAAGGTGGAGGTTACTTTCCCAGATGGGAACTCCAATTCAAATGGAAAATCAGCTATGTCCTACCTCTCTTAAAAACTCTAAGTAAGTACCTAGTTCACACAGTTATCACGACGATTGATTCTATTGAGTTGTCGGAATTATTACCTAAAATAAAGTGATGCTTACTAAGTTAGAACATTAAATTAGGCGCATTTAGTACAATCTTTCATCGCGCATGTGTGAGTGTAGCATTCATTATACATGACATCTGAAAGGGTCGAATATATACATTTTGAAAGACTAGTAACATTTCTTTTTATTTACGAAAAGAAATACATATTTTAATTTGTTAAAGTTTTCGTACTAACCACATAAATATGCCATTATTCATGCTATGCAGGTTCATTAAAAGTAATATTGCCTACACCCATAATAAAACCTGCCCACCCGCTCTTATTTTTGGACGCGACCATAATTTGAGTCCGGTTTATTTTGCTGTACTAAACGTTCGACCCTATATAAAGGGCTCCGGTATGTTGGGAGTACTTCACAAGGTGCATGGTATCCCCCTTTATGTTATTCTGCCGCGCTCGAGTAAATCCCAAAATCCCCTACTACACACGCGCTTAAAGTTAAGTATGTAGGTAACTTTTTGTATGTAGGTATGCTTTTATGACCATCAGCCTGTTTATGCGCCCACTACTGTACAGGTCTTCTCCATAAAAGGAATAGGGCGTACGGTCCATTACCCACCACGCAGAGAGTGGGTGCTTACGACTGCAAATGCGGCTGGGACCAACGGTTAACGTGCCACCCAAAGCACGGTGAAGCAAGAAATAGAAAAATTCTAGCCAATCAGTCAGTCCACCTGATATATCTGTAAGTAGTCACTGCCGCCCATGGACATTTGCAGCACCAAGGATAGAAATCATGCGTTGCCGACTCTGAAGGAAAAGGTTTACCCGCCTTTTGAAGACAGTTATATCATAGCGAAGAGGGAACACCGCTAAAGTTAGTTAGTTACCGGATCTTGCTGGTACGCAAGAAAACAGAACGCGCGTTATGCATGGTACTAGAATGCCAAGTGTCCAGATGTCGCATTAAGTTGCTTTAATTCTACTACGCAGGATGAATAGGCTAACTACTTGTATGACAACTTTTATTTTATAAATTTATCCAAATCAAAAACCAATATAAACACGTTGAAAGTATTATTAGCGATATTGCCTTGCTATTTAAGTCTTTTTTTCCCTTGTGGCACTCAATTCATCTCAAAAGCGCTGACATTTATGTGCCAGGACGTTGGGGCTATGGAAATAATTATTATGTTATTTTGTAATGTAGTGTAACTAAAGGAATGTAGAATGTTATAGTTCTTTGAATTTGAATGTTCGTATTTGGTGAATACGTCATTCAAGAAAAGACAAATAAAGTATAGGTATATACAACAGGATATTGCAACATGCCAGACAATAGTTGGGCCTAAGTTGTTAAAAAAATACAGAATATAATACTGCCTTGTCTGTTCAGGTTTTTATATCAGAAAAGTTGCCAGCAAACAAAACCATTGTTTTTCCACTGCCATTCCATTTCAGCTCATCGTTAAAAATAAATCGAAGTACAAAACACGTTTTTAATAAAAGAAAAATGAGATACGCTCAGTGAGCTTTTAACGAAATTGCTTTCAATATCATTATAATCTTCTTCTTATTATTATGTTTTTTGATTCGTCTCGTATTAAAAATATAACGGTGAAAGAAGGCTATATTTACCCTGGGAGGTAACTTTTATCAAAATCTGGGAGAAAGTTGAAACTTCGACATGAACTTCCTATTGAGTAGAAATTAACGAACGTCTGAATGAATGAATTAGATGTTCACTCATGCGTTTATGACCGGGCGGGGCTTAAACTTTTTCCCAATTTTAGACAAAGCTAAGATGAGGCTTATTTTGTGACTGGGTTATTAACTTTAAATGGGTGTAATGAACTGTTAAGGGCAAAAAACTATTACCTCGAAAAGTTAAGGTGGCAACAATGTAGCTTCTCGTTCCAAATCCAGAATGCCTTTTCACATAGCCATGAGCGAAAACGGGAGCTAGTGGAATCGTTAAATAGTTAATCTGCGTACCTAGACGGATCATTGGGGTCCAGATCCGCGAATATTGTTAAGGATGAAGTCATAATCACACTAATATTATAAAGGCGCAAGTTTGTTAGTGTGTATGTTTGTTACTTCTTCACGTCTAAACGGCTGGGACGACTTTAATAAAATATGGTATGGATAACTCCATGACTGACTGACACCCTGGTTTAACCATAGGCTACGTTTTACTGCGGGAAAATATCCCTAATGAACCAAGGGCAACAATGCGGGGCACAGCTGATGAGAAAAAAAGAATAGGTAAAGGATACTTTTATTCCAGAAAAATGCCGAGGGACATCAAGAACCAATCGGTACACGATTTTTTTTTACTCAAATGTCTAAAATTTTATTGATACTAAAATTTCACTTTAGTTAAATCCTATAAAAAATAAAACTGTTTGGCAAAATTTCACACATTTACTACAATGCCGCGTAGTTTAATCTATTGTTAAATTTGACTATACTTCACTTAACTTGACTTGCTGTTATACATATAATACTAGCTATCCCAGTGAACTTCGTACCGTCATTAAAAAATAGAGGTTGGTAGTACAAGGGTGAAAATTTTGGGTTGTATGTATTTTTGTGTGATGTATCATAAAAAATAAAAACAAAACGTTTTGAATAAAAAAAAAATTAAGGGTGGGGCCCCCCTTAACATTTAGGTGGGTGAAAAATAGATTTTGTCCGATTCTCAGACCTACTAAATATGCATATAAAATTTCACAAAAATCGGTGGAGCCGTTTCTGAGTATTTCAATTACGCACACAAATTTTATTTAATAGATATAATAAGTCTATGTGTGACGTCAAATATACAGTAAATCTGTAAAAATTTGATAAATGATTATATTTTCTTTAGTATTTTAACTGTAGTCAAATTTAACTATAGATGAAGAAACGCGGCCTAAAACCGTAGATCTATGATAATGACTTTGCATTTCTCTTCAATTAGGAAAAACAAATTTGTAACAATACCTACGGAAAGTAAGAATAAAAATAAATACAAACACATTTAATTTAACCCACTTATTTTACGATCCGAAATGTATTGTAAGGCAAATACATTAATTAATTCCATGGCATATAATTTATCAACTGACCTATAAGTATAATGCCATACCTACCTACATAGAAGACCTAAGTCATTAGTGTGCTATCGATTAGGTTTCCTTGAATTCTAGAGTCGTCAGGAGGTAAAAGCTATTCTATTTACGCTCTTTTACTTGGAAAAAAACGAAGCCACTGCACTTGCTAGCTATGAAATAGATCAGGTAGAGTTTCCAATCACTTTTATAAATATTTGAAGAATATCAAAGGAACTTTATTTACCTATCTAAAGGTCTTGTTAAAAGGGCATACAAAATGTGACGCGAGTGAAACTTTTAAAGTTTTTAACACTTCGATGTTAATCGAAGGTTTTACATCTCAATTTTTTTCGCATCGTAGGCATTTCACTGAAAATTTAGGGAAAATCATTCGAAGTTAATGTTACTCCGGCTGATAAAAGGTGGAAAACAAAAAATAAGTCTTTCCTACGCTAGGAATCGAACACGGGATTCCCGTGTGGCAGGCGAGCTTTCTACCACTGAACTACTGGTGCTCGTTGAAACGTTCAGATATTTTTTGATAATAATTAAATATATAAAACGACATGTTAAAGATGAATGACCAAATTGGTTGCGATGTGTAATAAAAGTTTCACTTTAAAATACTTAGTATGGCTAATATAATTATAAAAAGCAAAGTTAATACTCAGTATTTTTTTCTGCTTCCATATCTCAAGAGCAAAGAGTGCCTACTTAATAACAGGATTACAAAATCTGGTATTGCTTGCTAACCCTTTACTGATTATAACAGCACTTTAGCACGATAAGGATTTAAATATTACCTTTACATTTAAAAGAACTTTTTACTTTGCTTGAAATTGTAAAATTAATATGTTTGTTCGTTATATAAAACAACTAGAGGCCGCCTGCGATTTGTTCGCGTTAGTGTCAGCGCACACGGGCCACACGCCACAGCCACAAACACCGCCACGAGAAGCTAGAAGCGGCTACTAAAGTGGCTGAAGCGCGCGAGAGCGGCCGACTAAGTGTCGCCGCACACGGGCCACCAACCACAACCACAAAACGCCGCCACCGGCATATTTCTTGTAGTTTTATATGGACTCGCCATATAAAATGTTTGAAAACTACAAGAAATATGCCGGTGGCGGCGTTTTGTGGTTGTGGTCGGTGGCCCGTGTGCGGACACTTACCTTTAGTTTTTTGAGAATTCCACAAGAACTTAATATTTTTCCGGAATGTAAAGTATCCTATGTCTGAATCCGGGTAATTAACTAATTGCTTGCTAATTTTCATCCAAATGAGTTCAGTGGTTTTTCCGTGATTGAGTTACAAACATATAAACTTTCACATTTATAATATTACTAGCTGACCCAGCGAACTTCGTACCGCCCTAAAAAAATAGGGGTTGTCCAGCGGACAAAATTGTGAATCTAAACCATTCTCAGATCCCCTTGAACACACACAAAAAATTTCATCAAAATCGGTCCAGTCGTTTAAGAGAAGTTCAGTGACATACACACTCACAAAAGAATTATATATATAAAGATAGATGTATTAGTAAAAAAGATCTTAAGCATGATTGGAGCGAGCTTACCTCTTGTACTCTCCTGTGGACTGTCAGTTTGTGCCATTGGTGATCATCGAACCGTGTCTTCGCCGGTTTGATGTGCATCTCCTGTTTGCCGTTGCCGAGCCCCATGGTCAAAGAGACTCCCCCATCTCGCACAGCGAGGTTTAGGTAATCAGCTTCGTGACCTACGGAAAATTTTGGTTTCTGTAATGGGCCCAGCAAAATCACTTAACTCCACCCGATATTAAATGCGAGTGGAAACCAGTGGTAAGGACAGAAAAAGTTATTGTTAGTCTGAACTTATTCCTTTGGAGTTTGGAGCCAATGCTCCAACAATTCTTTACTCAATAGTAAAGAAGGCACAGACAAAGCTTCACGACAGTTACGCATGTGTAAGTGAGCACTACCGCCTGTCGCTTAAGCAGCGAATAATTTATATTGGCCGGCAGAGAATAATATGAAGTTCTCACTCATACACGTGCAGTGCTTGGAGTTTTGCTTTTTTGCCTCCTTTACTCATGTGTTTGGAACGTCTATTCTGTGTAGCTCATAAAGACACTACATATTAGTGTGTAGTCGAATTTCATTAAAGACAGGCAGTTATCGGGAGGAAACTTTCGCTGTACCCTACTTTTCTAAAATGATTATATGTAACGTCACGCCTGATAACCACGGAGATGAAAAAAGAGGAATAAACCCTAATACAGATTTTGAGCTTCCTAGACATACATCGATAGCTGCCTACATGTATGCTCGTCGTTTTTATTTTCACTGAGCCCTTATTTGAAATGCAAACGATTTGTTCAGCAAGCGTTTTCTGTGGGCGAACTTTTTTCGACGCTTTTTAGCCAGATTCTATTTAAAATATCTGTCAGCATTCTCTTAATCGACCTTTCTTATGTGCTCGTTCATACTTCGTATGTACTCGTATTTGAGGTACGTGACGTAAAGTTAGTGTTTCTTTAATCTCATTCAGCTCCGAAGTTAAAATTAAAAAGAGCCCAAAAAGGATCATCAGAATACTTATATATTGTTTCAAACAAAAGGGCTATATCATACTAGTTTGAATAAACCAATATTGATAAAAGAAATACGTATTTTTCTATATAATGTTGAATTTTGACCAGTTTGAATATGTAACTATATTTCTATTAAAAATATACCAAACGACAACGTAGCTGCACGTATAGTCAACTGTATTATAAACTAGTAATGTTGTTTCGCCTAACCTAATAGGAAAAAGGCCGTTAAGGGTCTTATCCGGCACAAATACTACTTGCTCAATTGATCACAATCAAAAAAATGGTTTCGGTGACTTCAGCTGCAGTCTGCAGAGAGCTTCCGAACAGCATCTTAGCGATACAAATACGTTAAATTAAATGTATATTTAAAGTTTTTTTGTCATGTTTAATGAATATTTACCTGTGTAAAACAACAGCCCATTCGGCTGGCGAGTCTTGAAATACAGTGTAAGAGCGTCTTGCGTACTGACTATAGGTTCGCCTCCCGTCTGTGTTAAATCGTAGGAGAGGAACTCGGCACCCCGAAACGTAGCTTCTGAGGGCGCTTTATCTGAAACAAAAGTTATAAGTTTAGTGATTTGGACATTGGAGAATCCAATGAACTTTAACGATCTACCTACAATTAAACTAGTAATAGTCCTACTTCGTACTAGTACATATATAATTTATATTAATACTTAGTCTGGCCATAAATACTGTTACAATAAAAAACATAGCATGTCTATCAGATTGCTTTGTGAGGTCTATCTACATGGTAGAAATAGTCAACAAGACATCCAATTATCATACAGTCTGAGATTTTCAAGCGCAAAGTCAGTTTGAAAAAACCAGGCCTTCCCTATGGATGGAATAGGGAGATTGGGCCATGACCCACCACGCGGGCCCAGTGCGGATTGGTGGGTGCTAACGACTGCAGATGCAGCCTGGACCAACGGCTTAACGTGCCTCCTAAAGCACGGAAGAGCTCGAGATAGTAAATTTTTGGTCACCCATCCAATGACCGACCACTGCGAAAGTTGCTTTTACTTCAACAATCGCAGCTGAACGCGTTAACCATTTCCACAATCGAGCTCCTCATATCAAATCAAATCTCCATAGTGACCCATACCTGACGAGAGAACGTAGACACGGCTTAAAACCGTGCCTAGATAACAAGCGCTCTTAAGTTTCCAAGGATCCATTTTAAAGTAGTTTAAGGTGATATTTATCACGAATTTTTATTATGATTATTCAAAATAAGAAAAAATAGTAACATTGCCAGGTGTTCTTCGTCACTCAATGTTTGTAACATAAACATAGATTGAGAACATAATTATGTAGGTAGTTATAACAAAAAAATACTACTGATTTTTAGTATTATTCATGCTGAACCCCTTTAAACCTCAAAAAGGTAACATGCAAGAATTTCCAAAATGTATTCATAGCGTTGATTTTCATAGTAGGCCAATACAATTTAACATGGCAAATAAATCTTAGAGCCTTTACGATTTCACCATAAGCTCCGCTTCCGTTTACCCCGTCATACTAACGGCCCGCTATTAAGCATAACTTCTTTTTGGATTTTCGTCGACGTTCCGCCATATATCAAACTGACCTGATTACTTACCTAGTTTGAATCGTACATGGAAATCGATGGCTAATGGCGCGTAGCAGTAATTATAAAATTTGAGTGACAATTATTGAAGTGAAAACTTCTTTACCGGCGTTGTAGACTTTTTTTATGGGTAAAAAAATGTTAAACTCGCGTCAGGTTAAACACGTGGGCTGATCGCATCATCACACACAATAAAATTGGAAAGGTTGTTGACTTTCAATATATTGGACGAAACATAGTAATATTTTATTTTATTATAATAATAAGTCTGTATCAAGGACGTCCACGTGGCAGCTTTATTGCGAAGAATTGCATTTTTTTACAATAGATGTCGCTAGGTGCGCTTAAATGTGATTTTTCTGAGAGATTAACTTTTTTAATGTAATATAAATTGTCATGTTTGTGTATGATAGCGCAATAGATAAATACTGTATTCTACTACATACATGAAAGTACTTTTATACTGATATAATTAAAGCAATTCGTGCAAAATTATTCCCTAACCATTCCAAAATATCAAAAATGCAACGTTAATATTCAAGTTTTCACTTCTGCCGGCACTCCCGGAGTGCAACCCGTAGTTTTATTGGTGGGTTAATTATTCTGCATTTGTATTAAATGTGGGTTGTATTGTAGATTGCATTATATTATCAGTTTTGATATGACATAGAAGACTTCAAAGTACTTGTATTTCAACCGCAGTGAACATATACCATATCCTAGGTTTATACCACTCAACAAATTAACACAATTAGTAAATGCGCAAAGCGATGTATAAATATCAAAACATTGAATTGTTTCACATTATGATCTACTATTTAGATTTACCCTTATATGATATGGCATCATCAATGTAACCAAAAGGCCGTTTTTGGAGTTTACTCCTTAAGAATCGATTTGCATATATAAGGGGCCCGGTATGAGAAAAATGTGAGGAGTGAAATCTATCGATGAATGACATTAATGACCTCGTTACGTTTTTGTGCGCAACCTCATCTGCGCACCTTTAACTTTTAGCCATGGCAACGGATAAAAAACATTAAGTTGTCACAAATGTCAATAAAATAAATAAACTAAAAATAGATAAAATCGGAGCAAAATTAATGAAAACAAATAAATAACAGAATATAGAGAAATGCCAGTAAGTGTCCAGCACTCTGGAATAGTGATTTTCAGTACAGATGGAATTATAATACATATTTATAAAATGATGACTAGTGTGTGATATTTTTGAAGTTGTGTGTTTCCAGAAATACATAATAAAATATGATGAATATCGCTGATGTTAGATGATAAAATGTGTGACATGGAACCTATGATAGTCGAAACCATGGGACGATTCCTGAAGTATCTCTACTTGTAACCAACTTCTTCGGACTTGATTTTGTTTTGTGTCTGTTCAAAGACAATCGTTTTTAGAGTGTAAACTCCGGTCGTGCGTCGGAGCTGACACATACAATTTTATTTTAAACTACTTCTGTAGTATCTTCATATTTTCCAGCAGCCTATACCACAGTAAATAGTAAAAGAAAATAGAGTATAATTAATAGTGCACAATATTTATTAGCCTCAGTTAATACAATCAAAGCAAGCTTAAAGTTGTGCACTTTGTTCGTGCAATTTTAATCTCTCCCAAGCCTAAACAGCAGGTTTTACTGAACAAGAATTGATTAAGGCTTGCAATTTTTATAGAAGCTTATAAGTTTATTTATAAGAACTCGTTTTGTTGTCATTATAAACTTTGGGAGTCCTAGCTGAAATTCAATTCGATATATTAAACATGTTTATAGTTAAACCTATGCAAAAACTACATTTTTCTACTGAACTGTATAGAATATTAAAATTGCAATATATGTATAACGCCGATGGACCTACAATTTAAAAAGAATATTAAGATAAGTAGAAATAAGTCATCCCGAATGGTATTCGAAAGTTTCAGAAAGCTGGTCCACAGCTTATTAAAATTTATCGTTCCAGTATTTTAGTCCTAAGCAAACTCCAACTTACTCTACAATATACTAATCCAGTGCGATTTAAAGTTACTCTCTCCGTATTAGTGTAACGAACAATGTTGAACGTAGAAGTTATATTATATATTCCACGTTAATACAGCTGTAATTACAGTAGTTAAGCTCTGACTTCAATATCTATAAAACTTAGCGCACCAAACTTCATGATCAACATGAAAAAGTGCCCTCCACATTTTGTAAAGATACTGAAGACGACATTGTTAAAAGAAAGAACTGAGAACTTCTTTTATGTTCAGAGATATACCCAGTTTGAATATAGTTCCAAGTCAAATTATATGAACGAGTCCCAGAAGGAACATCGCAGTAAAGAAAAAAGCATAAATATAATAAAATGTTTTAAATCCAACTGGCAAACTGCAAATATTTAAAATTAATAATTTCCATTTAATAATTTTGTTTTCAAGTAAGAAAAATATTTAAACTTAAACTCTTACTTTTTTAACAACCGCTGGGATATTCTTACTGCAATACTGAGTGCAATCTTAAAAATGTTTACCATTACTTTATCGTTCTATAATAAAATTTCTCCAGACAAACAATGCCAGTGATTTTATACTTATAGGTTATATAAAAGACATATACAATTCTTCGCAGTAACGCTGCTAGTATTGCTATTTTTGCACTAAATGCTATTAAAGAATTTAAAAAGGACTGCTAATATAACACAAAATCAACCGGACCCTGCATGAGTTTTGCATTGCATTTATAATAGGTATACATTTACAAGAGCAAAACAAGAGCACGTACAATCAGATAATTTAATTCTTGGACAACCATAAGCTTATTTCAAAACGATAAGGTACATTTTTGCTTAAACAAACAAACTTGTTATTTTCTGACGTGACAGATTTTGCCGCCTTCCTTTGTAATATAATTTTGAGATTATATTATTTGGAGTTTTGCCCATATACTATGGACTTCCCTATTTGTTTAAACAAAGTTAGTTATTTGTTAAAGTTAGTTATTAGTATTAATACTAACGTTTTTTATTATGTCTAGAAAACGAAAGAGTTTTTGTAACATTTACTATTTTCGAAGTGATTTCGAAATTCGAACCACTATTCCAATTTTATCTTAAACATGATTTATTGTAAAACAAAGGTCAAATTTTAAATATCTTTGATCCATATTAACACAGTTTCCTTGATAGAAGGTTCTCAGCGCAATTATGCATTCTGTAGCCCTTCAGCTGTCGACTGAAAAGAAAACTTGTATATTTTGACATTTTTAAGCGAATTATCAGGCAAGTGGGTCAGGAATCAATTGGTTCATAAAAGGAGAAAAAATAATAATAATACAACAAAACACGACTGCGGTAAAAAGGATAACAAACAATTATAAATAGGACGGAATGTCGAATACGACCAAAAGTTCTCATCAACAGTAACCGATCTTGCGATGTAATGATGATTATTTTAATATTGATCTTTTTTTATTAATTTATTTTATTTATTTAATTCTCCTCCGTTTTCAAATACATTTTAAACACATGATAATTATGTTGTTTTCATAATATTACTCGTATTATTGTTGTTGGGGACCCGGTTCCATGATTATTATGGTCCGATTATATTGTCCCGTTAAATGTATAAATAAAAGAAAATGGTAGCTACATAAAAAGAAAATGTATTTGCAACTCCACAAAATTATTCACGCAGTAAAATTAATAAATTGACAAGTCTGTTATTCATTCATTGCCTAGCAACCTCAACAATTGTATTAGGATGATTATTAGAATAGAATAGAATAATTCTTTATTGCAAATCTTCATTACTAATCAGATAAGAGAAAAACATTAATTAAAAAGATAACAAAGACCATTGGACCCAACCTAAGAAAGTTTCATTAACATTCATTGCTAATACAAACACGTTACTCGCATTTTGAATCCGAAAACTTTCTCAAGAAACTTACAAGAAGTTTGGG